TCGAATAGCCACAGGTAGAAGTTGTTGCATCAATACATGACAATCATGAGATTTTAACCCAAGCAATTTTAGATCTTTCATAGATACAAGTCTCTTCACATTGGAAGAGTAACCAAATGGAACCTTCACACCTCGTAAAAACTCACAAAAACTTCTTTTCTCTTTTTTAGACAAGTGTGTGACATGCCGGAGGCAAGTATGTTCGGCTACCATGAGGTTGAGGAGCTAATTGTTCTCTTATACCCATTTCAACCATGTCCAAACGAGCATTGACACCATCTTTTGTTTTTCCTTGAATGTTAAGGAGCGTTCCGATGATACTGTCACACACATTTTTCTCTACATGCATGACATCTATACAATGCCTCACATCAAGAACCCTCCAATATGGAAGAACAAAAAGGATTGACATTTTCTTCCATATACCTGTGGCTTTCTTTTGCGTCTTTCCAAACTCACACGAAATCGCACTTACTCGTTGATATACTTCTTCCCCACTTAAAGGTGTTGGGGCTGCATCATTTTCTTGACACCCGTTAAATGATTTTTTTAATTTACGATATGAATGGTTTGAAGGAAGAAATCTTCGGTGTCCAAGGTACACTGTTTTCCTTCCATGTTGTAGTTGATAGTGACATGTGTCTTCTTCACATATCGGGCAAGCTTTATGTCCCTTTGTGTTGTAGCCACTCAAATTACCATATGCTGGAAAGTCATTAATTGTACAAAATAACATTGCACGCAACTTGAATAAGTCACCTGTGTACCCATCAAACACATCAACACCTTCCTCCCACAACATCTTCAACTCTTCAACCAATGGGCTTAAAAAAACATCAATGTCATTTCCAGGTTGTTTGGGACCCGAGATCATCAAAGATAGCATCAAGTACTTACGTTTCATACACAACCACGGAGGTAAGTTGTAAATAACTAACACCACAGGCCATGAACTATGTTTATCGCTTAAATTTCCATATGGATTCATTCCATCTCGTAGCAAGTCCAAACCTAATGTTTCTTGGATCATTACCAAAATTCTGGAAGATGGAATCAATTTTTTTCCATTGCAATCCATCTGCCGGATGCCTCAACCGACCATCTTTAATACGACTATCTCGCATGCCATCTAGTGAGCTTTGCATCATTTCCATTAGTGAATAATCGTTTCAACCTTGGAACAATGGGAAGATACCATAACACTTTTGTCGGGTACCCTTCATTACATCATTGTCGTAATCACCATCCTTCTTCTTGTATCGTGATTCCCCGCATTGTGGACATTCGTGACAGCTTCTCAAATTCTTTCTCGTACAACACACAATCATTCTGACATGCATGAATTTTGTGGTACTCCATACCCATTGGACACAATATCTTCTTAGCATCATAATTGCGGGTTGGCAATGTGTTACCTTCAGTGGAGCATGTCACTCAACAACTCAAGCAATTCTCGTGAAACTTTTATCAGTCCACCCATTCTTTGCCTTCACATTGAACAATTTTAGTACCACCGACAATCGTGTGAACTTAGTACAATTTGTATACAAAGGCTCTTTTGCATCATTGGACAACTTCTCGTACACATGTGTATGTTGGAAGGCATCTTGTCCAAGCTCACGAATCATTTCCTCCAACTGATCATCCATCTCTAGATCAACTTCTTCTTTGTCTTCTACACTTGGCATGTTTAATAATTCACCATGCCATGTCCACTTTATGTAACTCTTTAGGAAACCATCACAAAGAACATGTTCCCGAATAACTTCAGCTTGGTAATCTTCGCTCATTCAAGCAAGCTTAACACAAGGGCAATAGAATCTTCCATCATTATCCGAACATTCATCTTAGCAAATTCAAGGAATTGTTCTACTCCACTCTCATATTCATTTGTTGTTCGTCTATAATTGATCCAACTCCGATCCATTGTTACAAATCTAATTTTCAAAATCAAATTAGCTACGTAAACACGAAATAACTACATTATAATGCCTACACGAAATCCAACTCCACTCTCAAAATAACTACATTATAATACAAATCTAATTTTCAAAATCAAAATCACGAAACACATTCAAATGCCTACGTAAACACATTCAAATGACTAAACTACTTACAATACATCTCTAAATTAGCTAAAGGCACCCGTGATGTTTCCCTCTCTTGACAACATTATTACTTACTAGATTCAATACCGTAAACCTACAATGGCTAAAGCAAGCACGAAAACTTACCTCTTGAAGACCTACAGAGGTGGCAGGTGGCGTGACGTGCGGAGCCGGGTGGGGAGAAACGTATCCCGAGCGATGGACACCGCAGAGCAGCAGGCGGCACGAAGCGTTGGCGAGGTGGCGTGACGAGCAAATGTGGGTGCGGAGAAACGTACACAGGCGAACTGGGAGCTCGCTATGGGTGAACCGATGAAAAGAAATGGAGCGTAGGGAGAAACGTACAGTGGGAGCTCTGCTATGGGGGAAGTGATGAAATGAAATGGAACGTAAGGTGAAGATACTATGTCGGCTGCCCTAACACCCGTCATCAAAGACACTTTCTATGTCGGGTAAATTTTACCCGACATAGAAAGTTCACTTTCTATGTCGGTTAAATGTTACCCGACATAGAAAGTTAACTTTCTATGTCTGGTAAATCTTAACCGACGTAGAAGTGAACTTTCTATGTCGGTAAGATTTAACCGACATAGAAAGTGACCTTTCCACTTACTATGTCGGTTAAAACTTACCCGACATAGAAAGTTTATGATTTTATTACAAAAATGCCACCGCGCCACATACTATGACTGGTGGACTACGACCGTGATAAAAACCCGTCATAGAAAACTATTTTTCCACTAGTGAAAAATGGAAGAATCGAATAATTAAGGTGCTGCTATAATAATAATAATAATATATTATTATTATTATTATTATTATTATTATTATTATTATAAATAAATAAACTGATTAAGAGAGAGATGCTCTCTGAGCCATTACTGCTCTTGGTAAAGGAAAAGACTCTTGATTTCAATAGTTTTATTATTGGAAGAAAAAAAAACACCATGCAGCATATTATCAAATAATTTACAAGAACTAAAATGCTGGATAATAGATAAAAAAAATGTGAATCTTCTTAAATATAAAAGAAAATGATTAACAATACTTTAAAATAAAAGAAATAATCAACAATATTTGAAATTTTTAAAAATATATAGTATTTTTAAATTTTTAAAATATATAATATTTTGTTATTTAAAAATTGTTCACATGAATTCGTTTTATTGATGTCATAATAATGTTTATTGATGTCATAAATTCGTTTTATTTAAAACATTCGTTTTATATAAATAAACATTATTGATGTGAATAAATATACAGCATATTTATTGATGTCATAAATTCGTTTGACAAATTCAAAAAATAAAATTTAAATTAAAAGATATTAAAAAGAAAAAAACTTATGAGTAAAATGGATAAAGGTTATAATATGCAATTTCAGGAAAAAAAAGAGATCATAGAATGATTTATTTTTTAATAATAAAGTAGAAAGTTCAAATCCATATATTTAGGAAAAACTTATACCCTTAGCATATGTAGTCGAGTTTTTCGAAAGTAAAGAATAACTGAAACTTAAATTGAACAGTTTGTACATTGAATCCAAACACTTGCTCAATATGTTTTGCAACCCAGCGTCTGGTTTTAAAAACAGCAGAACCCGTCCTCAGAAACATTGGTTTTATAAATAGACAAAAAGTGGAAAGAAAAAGGTTGGTTAATGGTGTTGTTGATTGATTAGTAAGATGGGTCATTCCTTCCAATTGTTTGCAAATTGTTGCTGCTCCTGGATATAGTATATGGGCTTGCTTTGCATAAGGTCCATTAGTTGTTTTGGGCTTTCTTTGCATAAGGTCCATTAGTTGTTTTGGGCTTTAGCCTGCCTACTTACAGAAACATGCATTGGAGGAGTAAAACAAAATATTCAACACAATGTGTTTTTTATTTTTTTTCACAATTGAATAATCGAAATTAAGATATTAATTATATTTTAATTTTAGATGTGAACATGTATTGTTAAAATTGTTGTTTATTATTAAATCTTAGATCTAAACATTATAATATATTTAATTTAAGCCTTTGCGTGTACTATAAATAATTAAAATAAAATGAGAAACTAATAAAGAGTTATTATATGGTTGTATAATGAGAGGAAAAACTTTAGGTAGGTAATGTGTGGTGTGCGTGTCACATGAAGGATATGCATGTTTCAATTTTTTGTGTGAATCATATAAACAAAGTCACATTATTCTTCTTCTTACTGGTTCAAATAAATTTCTCTTACGAGAATATTTAAGAAGATATATTATACTTGTAAGAATATGTATAAAAAAAATCAGGGAATAAGAAAAAAATTTATTTAAAACCATAAATTATTATTTATGTTTATAAAAAATATGAAGAGTTTTTTACAATTACATTGAACAAGCGTAACGTTAAAAAAAGCATATAATCGAATTCCGTGTACTCTAATTCAATTTTAGAAGTTTGTTTGCCTTAAATTTCGTAAAAAAATTATGATTTCACCACATTATTTAGATATTTTTCACATACAAAGTTGATTTTCTTAACTCTCTGAAAAATATTTAACAGATATACATTGATTTAACACTTACACTATCATGTAATTATAAAAATTCCTATAATGTTTTTGTGTTAAAAAAGCTATAATTTCTTAAACAAGCAGAAAAAAAGAAAGAAAGAAAGAAGAGACCAAACTGATATCTGTTTGCGTTTCTTTATAATATTCTGATGAAACTATTGGTGATATTAGGGATCCAGAGTTGCCCTTGCTGATATGAAAAACTAGAAGTGGTCTCAGATTGATTAATATACCCACCCTAAAGCCAACCACAAGAGAGATGTTTGAAAAATGAGAAGTAAAAAGTTAAAAAGAGAGAATTAAATTGGAAAGAAAGGAGAAGGGGAAGTAATAAGAGGTTGAAAGAAGGATCAAGCAGAGGTGGTGTTGAGTTGGATGACTATAACACTGATGTTGTCTTTGCTTCCACGAGCCATGGCCAACTCTGCTAACATGGATGCAGCTTCTGTTGCGTAGCTTATAATCGTGTCCTCTTTTAAATTCCTCTTCATATGGCCATGGAGGCAACCTCGTACCACCTCACAAACAAACTTGTTAGACACCACATCCCATAACCCGTCACTCGCCACCACCACAAACTCATCTGACTCTGTTCGTGCGTACACTTGGGTCTCTGGTTGAGATATCACAAAAGGTTTCATGCAGTGATCCCCTGCATCGTGTGAAATCTTCCCTGTTAAACTAACACCCCCAAAACTTGGAATCAAACACTTACACTACTCTTTAATCATCTCTTATGAAGTTAGCAATACTATGAAGAATGAAAAATGGGTTACCAATGGATCTGGAAGTAGCAAGTACTCCCAACACACGACTTCCGTTCCAATTAATCACTCTCCCACCAGCGGCTTCTATCCTCTCTCTTTCATCTGGACGATCAGGCTGATTCATGTATGCATTCAACAAAATTAAACAAACCCCAAAACTATTCACTAACTTACTCAAAATCTGACAAAAACAAAACCAATAACTAATTAATCATCCATCACCTTGTGATCACGTGAAAGTGGAACAGCTACACCGCCACGGCACAACACCGCCCTCGAGTCTCCACAATTCGCCACCACAATCTCCTCCTTGCCAACCACCACCACCGCCGCGGTCGAACCCATCGTGTTCCCGCCACCGTCGTCGTGCGCCTCATCGCCCTCACCACCAACTCCGATCTCCTTGTCCATCTTCATGAAGCACGAACACATCACCTCGCACCAATCCAATCCCTTCTCCGCGCTCTCCCTCAACTCGTCCGCCAACAGCAGGTGCAGCCTGTCGCGGCAAGCGTTGGCCACCAGCGTTCCGCCGTGCCCGTCGTAAACCGCGAAGAAATCATAACCGCCACACCACTTACCCGCCGCCACCAAACCGGGAACCACCATGACCGCGTCCTCCATTGTGCGCCGCCGCCCGATCACGGATATGAAACCGTGTGTTGCGGAGGAGGAGGAGGAGGTGGCCGGTTTGGATTCTTCCATGGTGGTAACCACAGCGACTTCGCAAGGACGCCTTCTCTTCTTTCGATAGTCATCGTAGCATCGTTTAATTTCTTGAGATTTGGTGTTTTTGCTTGTACTGTTTGTGGAATCCATCTGATCACTGATAAATCGTGTTAAGTTTGTGTTTGTAATAGTGCATGTGTTTACAGTTGTGACGTACATACGAGCATGTTCATGTATCGCAATCGCATACACTGCACACCGGCTTCATTTTGTTTTGGATTTTTCAGCTTTCTTTCTCTCTCAGGAAATTACAGGTTTTGTATACGTTTGAGTTTACCATGACACGAAGCGGCTCTCATCCAAACCTCAAATCTGGAGCGTACACATGTGCTTGGAAGTTGGAATATAGGAGAAAACATGGATCCCTAAGATTTTTATGTTCATACGTGGCGCCTTATAATAAATCATTTTTCATTATTTTTTTTACTTACAAAATTAAAGTATTTTTTCAATAATTGATATTAAAAATTTCCATGGTTATACAAAATTATTCGACACCTGAGTTATCTAAAATATTTACAAAAAATAGTTCATTGAACCAGCCAATGGGCCTCGATTTTCGGAAAATCATGCATGGAATTTGGCGACAAAACATAGATGCAGATTAAATGCATAAAGACTTATAAACTTAATAGTAAAGTAAAGGGTGTGGGAGGGGTAGGGTAGACAAAAGAAAAATAAAGAGCGTTGTAGACACAATGGCGGTGTTAAGTGAATTGTGTGTCTGGTTTTAGGGATGAGAATGTGATCCAAAAAGTGGAAATTGCGTTGGAAAAGGTAAATAAAAGGATGGGGATGGAAGATAGCATATATAGTCATAGACGGAAAATACCACAACGTGGCTCTTTCAGCAGTCGCCACTTATTCATAGCTACACTTCATCAGAGTGCCAGATTTGTTTCAACCTCCTAAGTCTCATTAACTTTTCGGTTACTTCTTTTAGAACACGTTTGCTTTATGGAATTATATCACAATCTCTTCAAAATCATATAGTTGTAATTAGGAATGCTATTTTTCAATATAATGAGAAAGTGTTTATTTACAGATGGGAGGAAATACAGTTGTAATTGCGAAGACTAGTTACAAATTGTTGCAAACAGTGTTTTATACAAGAATATACATATGTAGGTGTTTCTGGTGGAATTTCGATCGATTTCGATTCTAAGGGTGTTTTGGTCCTAATCAAAATTCTACCACGTAAGTTCTTTTTACTTAGGCTAGCAATTTGATTTTCAATCGAAAACGCGTATGAGAATTGAAAACTACAGGATATCGAAAATGTGGTTTTTGGTATTTTATGTCTAAAACGCTCGACTCAAACAAAACAGTAAAGTATCGAATCGAGCAAAGAGAATATTAAATTGCAAGAAAGTGCGAAAACCCCGAATTTGCAAGAAATTAAGTTTGCGAGATAAATAAAGGACAGAAATCGAAATGGGCGGAAAATGTAAATTGCTAAAACCCATTAAAATTGCACGTAAAGTAAATAACAGGAAATCGAAATGTGCGGAAAATGTAAATTGCTAAAACCCATTAAAATTGCACAGAAAGTAAATAACAGGAACTCGAAATGTGCGAGAAATGTAAATGACTAAAACCCATTAAAATTGCACAGAAAGTAAATAACAGGAACTCGAAATGTGCGAGAAATGTAAATGACTAAAACCCATTAAAATTGCACAGAAAGTAAATAACAGGAACTCGAAATGTGCGAGAAATGTAAATGACTAAAACCCATTAAAATTGCACAGAAAGTAAATAACAGGAAATCGAAATGACATTGAATGAAATATACAAGAATATGAAATTGCTGAATTGGAATGGCTCGAAAGTAAATTACCAAGGAAAATAAAGAAAGCGATAAATGTACTCCGTGAGCAGGAAATCCAGATTGCCGAAGCTTCATGGTGTTCGTCGTTTCTCCGGTAGACTTTTCACTACCGATTCTCGTTCTCTCGCCAATTTCCGCTCCCTTGTTCCTTCCTCCTTTGCTCTATTTATAGGGCATCCTTCAAGCCTTCCGAGAGCAGCTTAACGCACCGCTACCACGTTCTTCGTGCGTATGACAGTTTCTTTTTACAGTTTTCCCATGTTCTCACGATCTTCAACTTTTCCATCACTTAGAAACTGCTTTCAGTACGTGCGTTTTGACTACTTTCTTTCAAGGTTTAGCCAAGGTTATGATATCTACGAAAACGAGCCTTCCCTTTGATTTAATCGAGAACTTTGCATACCTGGTATCGATTTATTTTAACCTTAACTCCATGTTAAGCTTTTCGACTATTACGCCTACTCTTCCAATTTTACCTTTCGATTTTATGTGTCACGTTCTTTATAATCGGACATCGGAAAGTTCCCTTTCGATTCATTTCTCGATCGAACTTCTCGATTCCACACTATGACTTAGTCTTTATTTGGCAACATGCTCGTTCATTTCTCGATTGTGCTTCTCGATGTTATATGCTACGTGTTTCAATTTGGACATCGAATGAATATTTGTTTATCTTATCGAGTCATATTTCTTTTCCCTTCGATTCCGATTGTGTTTCTCGATTTGCTACTAACAAATGCCCCCTTGAAAGAATATGAATAATTTCAGTTTATATTCTTTCAATATTCTCGCTTTAATGTTCGGAGGCCCATAGAACTTTAGGGTTTAGGGTTTCTGGGGTTCTAGGGTTAAAAGGGTTTTAGGTTTCCCTTTCCGTTTTACGTCGCTATCATATCAGTCTGTTGCTTTTACAGTACGCTGCATTTATTACCTTTCACCTCCGTCGTTCCATCTCCCTATACGATTTCCTTTTAACCTCTCAACCTATCTTTACTCCGGCTTTACGCGAACTTTTATCCTCTATCGAAAACTTGTCTTCTTCCCTAAGCTCCCGCCTTCGTTTCGTTACCTTACCCGTCACCTTCTTTATTATTTCTCTAATCTTACTATAATGGCTTCTTCATCTAAGTCATCTCGATTTCTGGCTCCTCCTCTTACCTCATCTACTTCTACTTTGCTGGAAATTAACAACCAGCAGTTTGCTCCCTTGCCTTTAATGGAAGAGGCCTCTAAAAGGATTGCTGAAACTCAGGTATTAGTTCCTTACACTGTTGGTGGGGTTGGTTTTGGTTTTGGGGGCCCCATTCTTTCCGATAGTGGAACCGCTTCTCCCCTCACCCTCTCAAGCAGCCCTCGCTCTAGTTCATCACCCGAAGTTAGGATCGATTTTTTGAATTTTGTTTCCAAGGTGTATAGGACAGTGTCCTCCCTCCAAAAAATCTTTGTTCACTCGATGGTTTGATAGTGGTCAAGGCTAAATTCTGGGACCATTGGAAGAATGTGGGGGTTTATGATTTTCTACATTTATCTCAATGTGATTTATCCTACCTCGATATGGCTATGTTCCCGGCTGCCGTGCACCTATGGAATAAAGAGATACATGCATTGGAATTACCTTGTGGCCCCCTCTCACCTACTCTTCTCGATGTTGCAGCCATCACCGGGTTGAAACCTATAGGGGAAAGATATTTTCGTGGTGCGTGTCCTTCGATAATTCGTTGAAGTCAAAAATCGATTGGGAATCGAAGGCCTACGGGCATTTCATTGAGAAGCATTTCGTTGATGATCCCTCGATAGATGTCACCGATGAAGAACATGTAGCGTTTTTGGTGTATTGGCCGTGCACCCATGTGTTTTGCCCCCGATCGATCCAAATTTCCCCTCATCTCTTCAATCTTGCTTATCTCCTTCACTTAGGTCAACCCCGCCTATGTTTGGCCAAGCTTTTGCTAGCACATGTATATACCGCTTTCGACGAGGTCGTCGAAATTTTAAATACTCCTAAGGCATCTGGGAATTTTTCTCGGCCCCGTTTGGTTCATACAGCCTATGGTTAACATCCGTTTTTGAGAGTGTCCTTCCTCGATATTCTACTCGTCCCCCTAAGTGTAAATATAGAAGGGGCTCGATTATCCTCCCGTCACCCTCGCTATAAATCCGACGAAGCCACATATTGTAAATATCTCCAATTTTTGTTAACCAGATTTGTTTTCGATTCAACCTTAGCCCCTTTTATCGTAAATTTTGAGCGAGTAAGTGACCAACTTAGGGGACCGATCTGGTTCAAGTCAAGATTTCCCGCCTCAACCCCTGGGTTACAATTAGAACTGATCGATATATGGAGTGGCTACTTGACCCATGATGTGCTAGTATCAGGTTTCCACCCCAGGGATTTCAAGTTCGTTACTTACTACCCCCAGCTTTTTTCCAGACAGTTTGGTCTGAGCCAGTCTTTACCCTTTTTCCCTTTAAGTTCCTTCCCTAAATCCAAATTGACTGAATCGAACATCGGCCGAGAGCTTGCTAAATTTTTGCCAAGACCATCGATGCATTTTTATCCATATGCATTTGAGTCAAATTACTTATCGACTCGTGGAATTTTCTCAATGGTGGACTAATTGGTTTTCAAGTAATCGTGCTATTTTTGATGAGGTTCGACAGAGACCGATCTGCTCATCCTTCTCTTGTGTTGCAGGACAAGTCAAAAGGGAAGAAAGGTACACACTTCCACTTGTCTCCAAATATCTCGATTCGAGAATTTTTATCAAATATGTTATACTCCACTAAAACTAGAATCGACCTTTTATGATGCTGTCATTTCTTTATCCCGAAAAACAGATACCAATAGATCGAACCACAAAATAATTAATCCCTTAGGAAAAACCCCTTTCGAAATGTATTGTCCTACTCACCTTCCCACTTTTCCTACAGCACCTTTTGGCCTCGCAAAACCTTTAACTCATCCCAAATGGGTTCGAGAATTGAGAACCCTTAGAGAAACCCGTCGCCCAAAACCCAAAAACAAAGACATTTCTGTATCGAAATTGTTTTACTTTCCTTACCTTAACCTCCCTGAAGCTCTCCTCGCCTCCTTGGCTAGTACATATTGATCGAGTCAAAATTTTGACTCCATCACCTTTTGGTG